TTGTAATTTTGTTAGCAAACTTTTCTGTGTTTTGTTTCTGTTATTACTATTCTGTTTCCACTAAAAGTAATGAGGAGTTTTGTGTGTTATGTTAGCAGCAGTACAGTTCAAGTTTAAACAGTAGTTATATTTTTGTACAATTGGATCTTGAAAAGAGATGATCTCAGACGAAGCTATGCACAAGATTCGTATTTATATCTTTGTGTGATTGGATCTTGAAAGAGTATTTATACAACTTTGAGTATGCACAAGCTTCTACACATACAAGACTAAATCAAGCACAATCTATTTGTTGAATAGGAATGTCCATTTTTTTCCTCCATGCTTTGTGTCACTGGGCCTAGAAGAAATCTGCTAAATTTTGAAGAGGATTGTTTAATTGTCATGTTGTTATGCAGGCTTCAACAATTGGGAGAGCTAGGAGGTTGCAGCCGATCGTGTCCTTAGGGTGAGTTTGAGGGGAAGGGGATTGAGAAGATACGTAAAACGGGATGAGCCATTATCGCATGATTAATTGAGTATTAACTATTTTAAATTTTAAAAATGGATTAATATGATTTTTTAAAGCAACTTTTCTATAGAAAATTTTTGCAAAAAATACACCGTTTAGTAGTTTGGGAAGCGTGCGCGGGCTTTCTCACCCAATCCCCCAGGAACGAACGCACCCTAAGAGCAAGTATAATAGTGAGCTATAAGTCTACTATAAGCTTATGTGGGGGAGAGAGGTAACAAGAAATCAAGGATGTTGGCTCTCATGCAAGAGCTAGCTTAACACAAGCTTCTAGGTAAATACATTAAATGTATAGGTGAGAGATAGAGAGAGGAGAAGAAAATTGTAGCCAACCTTATAGCTAATTCATTATATATGTTGGCTTTAAGATAAGCTAATAGTAGGAAGTGAGCTCTACTGTTATCCTCGCTCTAAAGTCGCTTCGATAGCATCAGGGAGCACATCGGCAACTCAATGAGCATTTTTACGGCTCTACCCACCCAATGAGCATATTTACGTCTCCACCAGGTTTGCACTGCTTTCACGAATAATTCTAGTACCAATACCCAGTCCTGAACAGCTGGCTTATCTTTATATGATTGGATATTATCTACTAGAGTAGCTGGCTAGTCCTAAACAGTTGGCTGCACCGGAATGGATGAGGGGGTTGGGTTGTGTTGTGCCACTCACCTTGTGTTTTGTCTGCTGATACAAGTTAGTTTGCATTGGCATTGTGAGATGAAGGTTCTGATGCATTGGGCACTGATAGTGTTGCTGAAAGAATCTTTATTTCGTGGGTGTAGCCTACAATAGGCTCTTGAACTACTGAATTTATGATAATTTTTTTGTTTGATGTGCATGGTTGCTGCAGTCATATTTAACATAATGCCATGATTAATTCCATTTCAATGTTACATGTAGTTTTGTTTGCTTAATTAAATTTTACTTCTAATTAGGCGTTGGAATTTGATTATGTTTTACTTGTAGTTTTGTTTGCTTAATTAAATTTTACTTCTAATTAGGCGTTGGAATTTGATTATGTTTTACTCCTCTCTCCTCTCTTGTAGGTTTCGATCCATAGCATTTGTATTTGGTAAGGTGAGTACTTCTCAGTTCCCCTTTCTTTCTCTCAGCCTATCAGGTTCAGTAGTAGCAACATACCTGTTTCTGTTCATGTCGGCGAAATTACTGAAACTCTTTACTTGTTCATGACATACCAGGAGAAATTTGCCTTCTCTTTTCTTACTACCTAGTCCAACGGGGACCACCTATACATTTATCGACAAATTTCTCCTAAAAATTTGACAGATGTAATTACAGTACAATCGTAGTATAATTACGCTGTAACTTGTATGTAATTACATTGTAACCTGCATATAACTATAATTTAACTTGTATGTAAGTTTCACGTAATTTTGAATCGTTAGATCTATTACAAGATTTGTTCTGGTGAGAAAGAAAAAAAACACAGCACACACATATGTGAAAGGATTTATTCCCATAACCTCTATTTTACCGAAATAACATGTTACGGAGAGATTTTTGAAAGTTACATTATAGTTACAGCGTAATTACATGCAAGCAGGGGTGAAAACGGTACGGAAACTTTCCGGATTACGGACCTATTTTCGAAAACGGAATCTATCGGTCGGAATTTTTCGGAAACGGAAACGAATTCTGAAATATTTTCTCGGAAACGGAATCGGAAATGATAAGGGCAGTTTCCGTCGGAACTCGGAATCGGTCGGAAACTTTCCGGCAATTTTCTTGGAATTACCAGAAATTTTATGACTGAAATACCCTGGATTCTTTTTTTAAGCACTAAATAGTGAATACCATGGTGTTTGGCTATTATTTTTTAAAAAAATATTTGTTATGCAAATCTAAAATTACATAATAATATTTTTGTCCTACATTGGGATTTATCAACAACATTACTCTTTTAAACATAGATAATTTATTCAATTAGATCTATCAGTTTGAGGGGGTTTTTATTCCGATAAATTTTCATGCCGTATTCGCGCCGGTTCGTTTTCGCTCCGTTTTCGGTTTCAATAATATTTGATTCCGTTTTCGTATCCGGGGTTTCCGATTCCGATTCCGTTTCCGAAAAAAATATGAAAACGATAAAGATGGTTTCCGTTCGTTTCCGTACCGTTTTCACCTTTACATGCAAGTTATAGTGTAATTTCACTACGATTATACCGTAATTACATCTGTTAAATTTTTGGAAGAAATTTTATCGACAAATATATAGCAAAAAATTGTAAGGGGACAAAGCGGGGCTTCACAAAATGACCCGATCCAACAAAACGGTTAGGGGAGTGGGTCGTGCGGTATGCACGCGGGTACGCTCGCGGAAGGACAGGCAGTGGGGATGGGCGGCACGTAGAATATCCTACGGTGGAAAATTTGGCTGCAACCTCAGTTTCTTTCGGCCGGCTATCAGACAATCCCTAAACCCAAAATTTAATGGTGTTTTCGACGGCGAGCCTGGGACCCGCGCTGCCGGTGGCTCCTCCCCTGCTAGAGGTGGTTTCGTTCAGAGATGTGTGGTTGATCTATTATTTTCCTTGCAGTTGCAAAAATCAAGATTATCAAGGAGACCGGGACATTCTGAAACACTAACGAAGGAGACGGAGTCAATTATTGAGAACATAGAGGTAGTATATGCTGTTAAAGTGGCAGGTTTGTGGAATAATGAAAGGGAATGGGACAGTGAGAAGCTCAGTTCTTTGTTTGTGGAAGAAGCTGTTCAAAAAATTTTGCAGGTTCCTCTGATGCAAGATGACTCAAGTGACATGCTTTTTTGGAAGCACACTAAGAATGGTCAATGCACCTCAAAAAGTGCTCACAAGGAATTCTACAAAGGTGAGACACAGAATCTCCGGCAGGTAGACTCTCAATTCTTAGCCTTAATCAAGGCCATCTGGAAAGACAAAAATATTCCCCCCTAAAGTTAGAGTTTTTGCTTGGAGATTTATTAGAGAAGCCCTTCCCTATGCTCTTAGACTAAATCATCGTATCAAAGATATCCCTTCTGCTTGTTGTAGATGTGGCATGTCTGAAAGTGATTTTTCATCTCTTCTTTCTTTGCCCTTTTAGCAGACTCACTTGGATGATTGTTGTTTATAATTTTGATCTGGATAGATTTCATGTGAATCCTCATCTTCCTTCTCTCATTGCCTTTATTACTAATAATGGCCCCTGCAAAATTAGTCTAAGCACCCTTTTCATCACTATGTGGAATCTTTGGAAATCTAGAAATGACTTTAAATTTCAGGGAATCTTCAGGGAACCTTCTCAAGTCAACTATTTAGCAGAAGCTATGATCAATACTTTTTCCCAGGTTGCTTCTCAATCTGATTTGCAGGTCATTGAATACCCGATGGAAAACATAAGAAGAGCTGACAACTTCCCTGATGGAATTAGATGTTATATTGATGCTGCTTAGGACAACGACAGAACTGGCTTAGGAATTTTCTTTCATGATCCTCAAAATCATAGTGCTATCTTTATTCAAGCCTCATCTAACAAAGCTCAATCTGCCTTGCAAGCTGAACTCACTGCTTTGTATCTTGCCTTGCAAATTGCTATGTTTCTCAATTTTTCAGGTGTCACCTTCCTAACAGATAATGCCACAATTGCTAATACGGCTAAAAAAAGGAGATTCATGGAGGAACCTGGTCACTGGAGTTCAAGACCTTTCTAGTCTCAGATTATTTCCTCGGTTCCTTCGCATTTTATTCAAGTTAGATGGATACCCAGAGAGCTGAACAAGATGGCTGACAAATTAGCAAAAGAAGCTAAGTCCTCTTCCAGGAGGGATTTAGTTCACAGTTGCTAAAACATAGCTCATTTAACCTATCCTCAAAGAGGTGGTCATGCAAAACGTCTCAAAGACCTCTTCAGGTCTTCTATTTGTAATCTCAAACATGTACTCTGTTTCTAAGCCTTAATATATTCTTGGTTCTAAAAAAAAGGGTAGCATATGGAAGTCATTTCTTTGCAAGTGACAATAAAGCCTCTTACCAAAGTATGAAGTGCCAAATTTGGTGGTTAGTGGCTAGAGGCACCTACCAAAAGTTCAACAATAGCGTGATTTTCCAAGAGATAATTAATATTGTAATTTGCATCTGGTATTTGTGTAAATGATGATTTGTCCTTCGGCGTACTTTGTTGTAATCTTGAGCCTACCTTTCATGAACGAGATACAAATTGCTTGTGAATTTTTGAGACTTTTGGGCCATATTTTCATAGTTTGTTGAAATTTCCGGTTATTTTCATGGTTCCTGCATTGTCCTTTTGAAAAAAACAATATTTCTTTCTCCTTTTCTTTTGAATTTTTATGTTTTAGAACAAATTTCTGAATGGTCTTACTTGGACAACTAACGTCATAGGAGGGAAAGGAGTGGGTGAGGGTATAGCAGCAGTATCATATCCATATATGGTAGCAGTATATGGATCTCCCTGTGTGAATCCATCCATAGTAGCCGAACAAAGCCTTTAGTGAAATACGATCCCTTTCACTTCCAGCTGCAAACATTAACAGCAAAAGAAAACAAGAACAAAAATACCTACCAACACCACGAGTAATCTAGTCACATCCAGCATAAACCAAAAGTAATCTAGTCACATCCAGCATAAACCAAAAGTAATCTAGTCACATCCAGCATAAACTAAAGACCAGACCTCCACTAAAACATTTTGTTCAGACACAAAAGGGTACTCCAGCAGAACAAATTACAAAAGCTGATCCTCTTCAGCACTTCTTCCGTTAGTTCTGCAGTTGCTTCTCATCCTCTTAACAAGCACTTAAGACCAAAACTTGCCCTTGTCTTTGCTAATTTTGGGTGAAACAAAATCATAGATACGAATGGGTTAAACAGAACCATACATAAGAATGGCATCAGTAACATCGTAGTCATGAATGACGGCATCATCACCATCATCAGGATAACTTCCAGATAGACATGGTGGATGTAAAATTTTGCTTGCTTCATCACAAAAGGTGCAACGACCTGTCAGAAAAGCCAAAATTACAATCCAGGGTATTAACATGCATGCAAAAGCAATAATGATTGCCACAATGTGTCTATTACTTGACTAAAATATAGTAGGAGCATCACAAAAAGAGTTCAGTGACTCACCAAAACATGTGCTAACTTGAACAGGGCAGCAGATGGTCTTTGAGTTTGATTCATTGAATCGACCAGGTTGCGAGTCCCAGAATTGAGCGAAGAAGAGTGTGCGCACAGGGTTTGGTGTTGTGGTTGCCTCACCATCTAGTTTGAGCACAGTGCCATGGGTGCTTGCCAAGAAGTTAGCATGGTAGCATCTCCAGTGGTAGGATTGAGGTTCCTCCACTCCACAGATGAGGTCAAGCTTATATCTTGGTTCCTGCAATAACAAACACAAAGTTGGACAGAATTTTAGGACACTGGAAGAAAGCAAATGCCGCAATCAATCAAAAAGCCAAAACGTTTCTACTCTGAATTTACCCAAGGATGTTGTCCCGAGTATGCGACTAGCAATTCTTCCAGCTTGCTGCGAACAAACTTCTGCTGGTTCAGATATTCTGAACTTTTCATTGACGATGCTGTCGAGGTTTGACAATCAAACATACGATTTCTTCTTCTGCATAAGATTTCGGTTAGCTGCACTTTGATCATTGCGTTTAGCTCCTCCCAATCAGCATTTGAGATAACACAGTGAGAACCATTGCTAGTGGATTTCAGCAAGCCGTGCAGGCGATCAAGCTTCTTGCCGGAGAGGGATTTGAGGAAAGATTCAAGCATGGTGTGCTGCTGCTGCTTCGATGCCTTGACTGCAGCAGCGTAGGGGTTCTTTTTCGTCATCACAGTCTGCTGCAGTTTGTCGCGGAGGTCGCACTGCCTGGACCAAAGGTATTCCACAGCCTCGTGCTTTGATAGAGGTGCACCAGTGGTGGTTGGGGTGATGGCACGGAGGAGGGCGATGAGGCCATCAAGGGTACGGGATGCCATGCGACACATGGCGCTGGTGTCAGATATCTCCTGTTGCAACTCATACTTGTCATTGGCGTCGCCTTCCTGTGGAGGCTGTGGGTACGAACCATCAAAAAAGGCCATATCATCGTAGGCGTTGTACCAGACAGCGTTGATGATGATGTTCGACACAGGGTCTAAGGGGCCATAGCAGTATCCGAACTCAATAAGTGCGTGGAGGAGGCGGCCACGGCGCATGGAGTCGCCAGGCAGGGGCAGCACGGCAAGTGCCCTGATGTAGAAGCAATGGATGGTGTCGAGGAGGCACATGTTCAGGGAAATTATGTGCTCGCATGGCGGGGAAGCATCATAATGCATTTCTTCCTGAGGTTCTTCACAATCAACACTGCAGGTTGTGATTTTCGCTATGCACTTAGATAGCTTTGTCTCCATCACTACCCTATCAAATGTTATGTCAGGAAGGTGTCGGAGTTGGTCGGATAGAACTTGATTTGGAGTTTCAATTTCGATCGAAACTCGAGCAAAAGTGCCTCGCCCAATGCATGTCGCCAGCAGTAAGGTGCCATTGGGGGCGGCTTGAGCACAAGACTCGCCATTTGGGCAGCACAAGAAGTCCATGTTGGGCGGGGGCCATTGGAATGCGTTGAGGAGCAGGTCCTTGATGGACTGGACGTCATGGGTGGTGAGCAGGTCCGACCCCTGAAGCTTGTGGACGATAGGGGAGAGTAGATGAGAGGGGTACTGCGCGGTCATGGTGCGCGCCAGGTCGTCGGGCGCGGGGTGGCCTGCTTTGAGCGCGGCGATCCGGAGGGCGTTCTTCATCTTGCCACCGTCGGGGAGGAGGGGGGATGGCGGGAGTGGGAGATGGCGGTCATGGTGGACCAGCTTGATGGCGAGGAGGAGGTCGTAGGAGGCGAGGTAGAGGTAGCGCCTGGCCTGGTCGCCGGTGAGGTAGCGGAAATAGACCTTCATGAAGGCGATGAGGCCGTTGAGAGAGGTGGATGAGATGAACCCCCACCACTCGCTGTAGCTCCTGCGGGTCCTCTTCCGGGGGAGCGGCGGTGGGTGGTCTTGGAGTTGGAGGGGCGGTGATCCGGAGAGGTGGGCGATGGCGTTGAGGATGATGTTGCTGACGGGGTCGGCGAGGCCGAAGCAGTGTCCGACCTCGCCGAGGCAGTCGACGAGCTCCGGGATCTCGTCCAAGGGCAGCCGCCGCGCCGCCTCGTCGTACAGCTTCTGTATGGACCGGAGGATTTCGTTGGCCGGAGGGTGCCATCGCTTCTCCTCCTCCCCGTGGTAACAGGTGAATCTGCCGAAGCGGGGGCCATCGGAGGAGGAGGCGCCGCTCCGACTCGCTGCTCTCTTCCATAGAAGGTGAGAGGTGGAAGATATGAAAGAGAAAGAGGGGAAGAGATGAGGGAGAAGATGACATGAGGTGGAGACTGCTGACATGTGGGTCCCGTTTGAAGACTCAGCAAATCAACTGCCACGTAAGCAAGTCAATTGCCACGTAGGACAAAACCGCCTCCAAAACCGTCCGGGGAGTTTATTTGTAACGGTTTTCAGAGTTGGGGGATGGGTTATACCCGGTTTTGCGGTTGAGGGATGATATTCATACACGGCCATGAGTTGAGGGAGGTAAAATGGACTTATTCCTAGTAGTAATTAGCAATAAGCCCACCTGTCAGTTCCTTGACTTTTACATCGTGTTTTTTTACCTCTAAACTGTACACAACCGTGCAATTTGGATCCCACAGCAATATAGATGCCTGCTTTTAATGATGTGGCATCCTAGTCAGCAAAATAAAAATAAAAATATTATGTGGGGCCCATGTAAGTGACAAGAAAAGACATAGGGCCCACGCCCTCTTCTTTCTTCTCTTTTCTTCCCCAGTCTCGGTGTTAGCCACGCAAGGGGAGGCGGCCGACGGGAGAGGTGGGGAGAGGTGGCCGGCAAGTCTGAGAGGGTAAGGGAGAGGCAGCCGGCAAGCCAGCGAGCCGAAGCTTGTCGACAAGGAGATCATCCCTTTGCGACGCCCATGTTTGCCATCGCCGCCCAGTTCAGACCGGAGACACGGGTGAAAGACTGAGAACCGATGAGAGGGTAAGAGGGGGTCGGGCCCCTCAGGAGCGATTGAAGATGGAAAGGGATTTAGACAGGTTCGGGCCACTGTGGGAGCGTAACACCCTACTCCTGTATGTGGTTGATTTGAGTGGAAGAATACTGTTGGGGAGGTATGTCATGAGGGCCTTCGGCCAACCTGCTGAAACCATCTTGGCCGTCAAAACAACGGCTAAGTTCATTGGCCCAAGCCTTTGGGCAGAGCCATTGGGCGAAGTCGAAGCACAAAGACCAAGGGGTTCGCCATCAAGCATTGAGCGAAGCCTGGCGGCGAAGATCGATGGGTTCGCCACCAAGCTCGACAATCGACCAAAGGCCTATCAAGGGCGAAGGCCGTCAAGCGAAGCATGAAGTCGTCGGCCTAAGTAGACAATGCCTTCGGCCAAGGACCCAAGAGGCCTAGCGACGAAGATCGATGGGTTTGCCACCAAGCTCGACAATTGACCAAAGGCCTATGAAGGGCAAAGGCCGTCAAGCGAAGTATGAAGCCGTCGGCCTAAGTAGACAATGCCTTCGGCCAAGGACCCGAGAGGCCTAGCGGCCCATGGAGGCCCTTCGCCACCCAATGGGCCAGCTCTAGAAGACCACCTCGGGGGCCATAAATGCAAAAGACACTGTATACCCATTGTAATGTCCCTATCATAATGACAACCATGTAAATTCCCCTGTAATAACCAGACCCTAGAGGGTATGGGCCTGCACAGGCTGTACTACGATTATAATGGGGAGATCCCAAAAAAAATGAACTAATAAATACATTGTTTTACTATTCCAACCCCTCACTGAGTTTACCACGTCCTTCAACGTGACGCGGTTGCCATTTGACAACAAATACAAGTGCTTTTAGTTTTTTGGAACCGTCCCCTCTACACTGGGACCTCGATCTCCTTTTATATCTTAAGGGTCTACCATAAAGGCCCAAGTCCTAGCTTCAAGGGTCATGAAAACATTCTTTACAGACCATTAATGCTCGTCTTGTCTTCGGACGTGCGGAACTGCGCGTGCCTTACCGAAGCATGGGCACGTCCCATCATATCGAGCGACACGGGCAGACACCCATGTCATTCCTTCTTTGACTATCGATGACCTCCTCCTACTCGTTCCCTCCGGTCAGTCAGGACCACTTCGAACGGATTGGTATGACAGGATTTGGTCCGGATCCAAACGAGAAGAAAAAACCTATAACACCCTGAAAATTTCGATTCTGAAATACGGAATTAAAAATTTGGAATAATAAAAAATCTTTTTAAACCTTTTTGCATGCTGGAATTTATTTAATTCGATCTGTCGTTTTTCTGTTATGCATGGGTTAAAGGATGAACGTCTAAGAATATGTTGGTATTTGATTTCAAATATTGTTCATTCAAAGAACCATGATTATGAAATATCCTAGTATTTGCAAATGCCAACTATTTTATAAAACCCCTTCTCTATATATTAGAACCCTTTCGGCATAATGATTTGATAAATAAAGCTATATATAAATATATGTCACTATTTTGGATAAAACCCTCTATGGTATAGCATATTAAATAAATGCTATTTTAATAAAGAAACATAGCTATGGCTATTTTATACGAACCGTTGAAAAGGGATTTGCCTTCAAAAAATTATTTGCAAAATAATATCTATTAGTAAAGTATTACTGAAAACCCTATATGCGCAATATAATTACTAATAGGCTATTTTCAAAGATATGACTTCCTCAGACAGAGTCTAGTTTTCCCACGCATAGCCTAGCTTGCATGTTAGGATTTATTGTTTATTTTGTATGTGTTTAGGATTTGTGCCAAAGATCTTGATTTAATCCTATCTCCTAAAAGGACTCAATCTGTTCGATGTCCTTTCCTATATATTTCCTTTTCCCGACTTTACCTTCCCTCATCTTCGCGGTTTGATTTATTACGCGCTTCAGTGCTAAATAAATCGACAACCCAAAACTCCCTTATCCTATCTCGATATTGTCACTCTCTCAAACTCTCGCCCGGCGATTACTTAAAACCCCTCTATCAACTCAAACCCGATGAACCCCCTCGAATATGTATAATCGATCGGTGTATTTATTTACCGTGCGTCGATTCGAATATCTCGATTTTATTACTACCACAACGATTGGATTTGTATGCCCCGCGTCGTCCCTAAGATCCTTTCTTCGCTACCGTCGTTCGTTCGTATGAGCGCTTTCAAAATAATCCTACGACGACCGATGAATTGGTTTGTCGGGCGTTAAGCCTAAATCCCTATTCGGCAACGTGGTGCATCCATCCAAGCAATTCAGGAAATTCCAAGATTTATCCTCCGCCCATCCAAATGTCGATTTCTAAACACAAAGGCCACATTTGCAATTCCAATACACAGTCCGAGTGCATGTTTGAGTCCAAGGGTCAATTCCAAATTTCCAACTCCCAAAACCCCCTGAGAAGGTGCAAGCAAGACTAGCAGTACCAGTTGCAAATAAATCCATGCCAAACATACAGTACCCTGCAGAGTCCAAATTATGAATATACAGAACCACATCACAAGTCCGATCTATACAATCCCAATTACAGAATGTTGTCCAAGCCACAACCATACAAGCCATATCTAGTCCAGACACAGGGCCAGAATAAATATTATGCAGTCCATTTATACAGAGCCGAGTCAAATTACAATTACACTGTCGAATCATAAGTCCAAATGCACATGTTGTTTTCCCCATCCAAATCCCCTTTCAATTTCCTAAACTACAAATCCCAGAATGATACAAAAGCTCCTATTACAGTGGACTCCCTTTTACTGCCAGCCCACTCCCTCTCTCGTTTCAGCCTAAAGTCTGTTTTGCCTCCCTCAGCTCAGCTGCATGCCCAGGACGTGTTCGATCAAATGCCTGCAAGACAGAGCAGTGTATTGTACCAACTTGGACGGCCATCTAATGCCCTGAGGAGCTACACAACAGCTTTCATGCACCATAAACCCCTGTGGACAAAACCCCACCCCAACACCCATGCCATCACAGAGACGACCCCACAAAGAGAACCCTCACTCCCTAGCACGCAAAACGAAGCAGTGTTTAGCGTGTGATTAATTAAGTTTTAGATATTTTTTTTAAAAAAAATGAATCAATATGATTTTTTAAGCAACTTTCGTATATAAACTTTTTAAAAAAAAACACTTTGTTTAACAGTTTGAAAAGCGTGCGCGCGGAGAACGGAGAGAAGGGGTAGGGAACATGGACAAACGAACTGAGCCCAAGTTCAGGAAGCCAAACCTGCCTTGTGCTCCACTCCTCGGCGCCGATGACGACCACCGGCCCACACCGACGCCGTCCGCCGTCCTCATCCTCTTCCACCCCGCCGCCCAGGATTCACGCACAAGAAAGCGACGGCTTTCAAAGCCGAGGAGGCGAGGACCCCGCCCCAACGGCCTCCCCTGCACCCGTGCTCCCCGTCCATCGGAGCCCTCAGCACAACCGACGAAACAATGAAAAGGAACCCACAAGCTGAGTCCACACCGAAAATGGGAAACCAGCGAGAAGACCTACCTGGTACGATCCTCACCATGTGTCGTTGTCGCTGCCACTGTTGCCGTCGCTGTACTGCCTAACTTCCTTCCCCTGGAAGCTAGCAGCATCAAAACCATCATCCATTCATCCTTGTCGTCCTCGTTACGGTTCACCATCGCATCCCTCACCTTCACCTTCCCGAGCCAGCTCGCCACCACCATCACGGCCGTCGTCGTTCCTCCACTGCCACAGCCACTCCGCCTTCGGATCCCCATCGCTGCCGACCCCCGTGCCACTGCCATCGCCGAGCACCTCCCCTTTTCATCTCCACACCGTCGGCCTTCCATCTTCCATCGCCGCCACCACGCCACCCCAAACGCCATCCACCGTGCGCCACCCCTCCCCTGTGCCTGCCACCGCCGTCCTTCACTCCCCAGGCCGTCTCCCCGACCGCCGCTCCTTCCTGCCAGCCTCCTCCCTCCCCCACATCGCCGCCGCCGGCTCTGCTTCCTCCCCCATCGCGCCGAGCTGCCGCCCTCCCCGATTCCCCATCGCTGCCCCTACCTTCCAGAGCCCTTGGCCACCGCCGAGCCGCCATGACGCCTCCCCCGTCGCCGCACCACCCTACCACCAGCTGCCGCCCCCTGCTCACCGCCGAGCCGCCGGCCCCCACCTCCCAGCGCCGCCCCGCCGCCACAAGCTGCCGCCGCCTGTCCCACCCACCGCGCTGCCGTCGCCCCAGGCCGCCGCCAAGCTGCCGCTCGCCGCCCCCTCACCCTCTGTGCACTCGAGAGAAGCAGAGAAAGCAGAGAGAACGAGAAGAGAGAAAAGGATAAGAGAGGGAGAAGAGAAGGATTAGGAGAGAAAAGAAAGAAAATACGAAGTAGAAAGAGAAAGAAAAGAGTATGAGACACTTACAAGTAGACCCACAGTGGGGCCCACTGGTTGACCCCTCACTAAACTTTCGTATGCAGGCCCGAGGATCGATTCATTAGAAAGTCTGTATCATGTCTCTCTAGTTTCATAGCCGAGCCCGAGAGAGTGATTCTCTATAGAAGTCTATATTTCATCCTTCACTAACAGGCAGACAGAGCCCATCATAGCCGGCTCATCCACAAAAGTCCACAATACCTCCTTTATACAACCTGAGCCCTCTCGGAAAGTCTAATTCACCTCCCTTCTCGAGAGTACTCCCTCCTCGGTTTTGGAAATCAAGCCAACTTCGGAAATTCATATCTTGCAAACCGTAGCTTCGATTGGACCCATTCAACTTCTGGAATTCATCTGAAATCATGATCTATCAAATGGCACAATTAGTTGGAGATGTTCATTACTTTATTAGGAGGATTCTATATGGTTTTCTATTTTTGATTGCGTATGGAGTATTCTAATTATCTAACTGATGCGGATTTCTCGAAGACATTAGGAACCTATAACAAGGCAAGTCACTACGCTCCCTTCCTTGAACATATTGATCATACATTTACAAATGTGTTGTTTTGCAAATAAATTGCATGCTATTTATAAATTGCGTACCTACATTTGATCATAGCTTGCCTTGCGGTCAATTATTGACATTGCTTAGTATTGCTATTATATAAACATACACTCCATGCTTATGTTATATGGTTATGGATGTGAGATTGCTCGATGTGAGTGATTAATGGTTTGCGGGTGGAGACATGAGCACCACCCGCCACACACAACTCTTTTGCGAAAACCAAAACTTAATGAAACAAAACTATTTCGACTAGGGTGGCATGAGTAGAATATGGGTAGTTCTGGAAACGGTTAGTCGCCGACCCTAGTTAGTTAAGGATAAGTCAGGAAGCTATATGGGAAACGAATAGAGTACGACCGCATTTTCTCATGTATGGGCATACCCGTTGGATTAGGAAGCTCTCGTGGGGCGGCACCTCAGTCATGGTAGGTTCTGTATGTGAATGTTGAGGATAGTGCAGTGTCGAAAAGGTAAATGACGTCAAGAACTTAAAATACACCCTATAAGTAAACGTAGTAGATATCCCTTTTCACGGGAGCGGCAGGACTCCCTTCACCATCCGACAGTAGGTAGGTTGGAGTGCCGGGGTGCAATGGGGGCTCATAGTCCTTGGAGTGGATGCCGAAATGCGAGAGCGACCGAAAAGCCGGGCCGTGGCAAGTCTCATGTGTTGGGACTAGGCTCATGTGTAGGGCAAGCCGCGAAGAGCGGGATTAAAAGCGTACATCCACTACAGGTGTAAGTAAACCAATATATTCGAATTGCCATGCTCACGGTTAATGAGCGCCGAGACATGTACTACCCTTGACTAGACTCATAGATTTTAATATTGCATAGTGTAGAAATGGTGAGACATGAGAACCTTGCCCAATGCGTAGGAATGTTATTATGATAGAGTTGGTATAAAATGAATGTGAGGGTAAACCGAACCAAGCGAGGCTTGGAGAGGTGGATGAACCCTGGAAAATTACAACTTCAACATTAACGTTGTTTTTCAATTAAAACTGCTAGGTGAATTGTGAAAACTAGCTTTATGCAAATAAACCAAGCCATCCTTGAACCCCTGTGTGCATTAGATTCATTTTGTAGTGGCGGCTTGCTGAGTACGTATGTACTCATCCTTGCTCAATTAATTTTTTTAGAAAGGAGTTGGAGTCGATTATATTTATGCCATGCTGCTGTCAAGTACGTGACGATGGATTAGGGACCATAGGTTCACCAGTCGTTGCCTGTGGAATTCGATGGACCGCCGCTGCTTCGCTTCCGCTATCCTATCTATTGCTTTCGGTATTTTGTATTGTACATGACCATGCTTGGTCTATTTTGGGACCCGTTTGGGCTACCCTTGTATTATTATTGTAGAAACACCTGTAAACGATGTCAGCTTTGTGATATACAACTGTGCTATGTGTGTACCATCTACTGATCCAGGGAGTGGTACTGTATGACACATGAGATTTCCGGTGTATAAAACCGGGGGTCCCCACAAAACCCCTCATTAATGGCGATTTAGACGGAGCATGGCGCAGGCCATGCTCCCTGACAGCAGCAGGCGTACGCGGGGGGCGCTATGCTCGCCATCACATCAATCATTCCGGACTTGATCGGCCGAGTAGGTGTGCCTGCACGCCGCATTTAATGCGACGTGCCACGCCATCTCCTCTAATAAATGCGGTGGGTGGGCGCTGGACGCGCCCGCCCAAACCACACACACGTGGCCGTGCACGGAGAGGGTCGAGGCGGCCCAACCCCTTTCGTGGGGGATAGCCAACACACCAGTTCCGGGCACGACCCCCCTCGGGTCGGAAAGTGCCACGTGGGCTTGAGGCGGCCTTTTTCCCCTGTACGAAGTACCCCCAGGCCCACATTACCGACACGTATACTATCGATTCTAGAAATCAGCAATTAGAAAGCGGATAGTGCACGAGATCTAAAGTTGATGAGTAAGGAGGACAAGGTTTAGACAGGTTCACTACTTCTGTTTCGGGGATTGTATCCACTGGGTGTTGTATTGATCTGACGATCGAGTTGTGGTTATACCCTTGGGGGGCTTCTGGCCTTTTTTATATAGGTTTGGAGGCAGGATTAGAAGGAGGAAAACCTAGAATACGGCGTAAGTTTCCTTATATACTTAGGCTGTGTTCGGTTGCCCCTTTTCCCAACCCATCTCCCTCTTTTTCCGCGCGCACTCTTTTCAAACTGCTAAATGGTGCGTTTTTTTTAAAAAAAAAGTTTCTATACGAAAGTTGAGACCGTGCCGTTTTCCGCGCTTACTGTTCTTGGATGGGAATGAGCAACAGCGAACACAGCCTTACACAATCATATATATGACTAAGACTTATGGAGAAAAATTCTATGCGGCAGCACAATCCCAAGCTTCTCGTGCGGCACCGCGCGAAGTGGCAACGCGTGTCCAGCTGCCGCCTGCGCGAGCCGCGTCTGTCATGATTTTCGTTGGAGCTGAGCCAATGCCTATCACAACGAGTCCAAGCCGCAGGCCCGCACCAAGTCAACCGTCGCTCTCAGCTGCTATGGCGACAACGGTGGCGGCTGCTGCTGCTGCTGCTTCTAAAACGGCGACGGTGCACTGTAAGAGCCCTGCTGCTCTCCTCGGAATTGAGTCCCCCTACAGCGGGCGACGGCGCGTTGGTGCAAGGCCGCGAGGCGGCAGCCGACAGGCAGGGCAGATAGCGGAGCGCCAGAGCGGCCGCGCGAGCCGCGAGCAGCAGGCCAGCGGCAGCGTGGCGCTGCGGGAGCACGTGAGCAGGAGCAGCAGTGCAGCAGGAGTCCGGCGGCGGCGCGGGAGTGCGTTGCGCGCGAGCAGGAGCAGCCAAGCAGCAGCAGCGCCGTAGGAGTGAGAAGGTCTGCAGGGAGCAGCAGCTAGCATGCCAGCCAGAAGGTATGTTTTTTGAAAATATGCAATTCGATTCTGATTGCTTGATTGAAAATTTGGAATGATTCAGTGCATTAGCATAGTTTTCTCCTATGTACAGATTGGTCCTCATGAAGGATAATTTGTCACACGTAAAGAATAATCGATTGTCTTGTGAAGTTGTGATGTATTTTGTCAGGGTTATGGATACCACATACTTAATAGTAGTTGACTAAATCTCGGCAGGACCCACCACATACCATGTCTTATACGGAAACAACCTTCGGATATAGGAGGAGTTCCGCATAAGGAAGGATGAATAGAGTTCTATATGGAAACGACAAAGAACTACTTGGATTGTATCCATATTGGTTTCCCTAGTTCTACTTGGACAAGGGGACACCTATGAGTATAAATACAAGGCCCCCAGGAGGAGAGGGGGGATGAAGCAATAGATCAAGATACAACATACAAGCCAACATACGCCAAGACAAGGCGCCGGATATTGACATAGGAGATAAGCCTAGTTAGTCCCCATACGGTTCCTACGACTACCGTCAGGAGGGATCTAGCGTTGTCTCTGATCTCGCCGGACACGGATTCAAGGAGGAAGACTACCCTGTTATTGACTACGGGATGGTTTTATGGCCGCCAAGTCGACAACAGATAGATAGGCTACCCCAAATATTGTATTGGTGTGATTATGGTGAATAAGAGTAACGACCGGCTTCAGCTAACAGGAGTAGGGTCATTACCTGACAATTCAGGGGCCCGAACCTGTATAAAAATCCTCGTCCCCATCTCTTTTACCTCGATCTCTCATATACCCTGGTATCAACGATCCCCATACTATGCAAATACTGGAATCGCGACATCAAACGTCGATAGTGGCGCGCCAGGTAGAGGGTTTTTGGTGCTTCAAGGTTCCGACGATATGGTTTCAAGAGATGGATTCTCTGACAACCTCCGAGCGGACTTCCACCGCCGGAATTGTAACCGGATCAAATCGGACGACCACGGCTGTGTTTAGTTCGGTGCAAAGTTTAAATTTTGGTTGAAATTGGAAATGATGTGACTGAAAAGCTGTATGTATGACAGGTTGATATGATGGAAAAGGACTGAAGTTTGGATCCAAACTTTAAATCTAAACACAGCCCACGACGAAACGCGCTTCTGATCTACAATGACATCAGGTTCGTTGTCCCAAATTTCTGTAAATAGATTATTCTTGTTTACTGTAGATTGGTAATAATAGAGTAATTTGTACCTTTGCATGTACTACTTACCTTATCGGCTGAGTCCTACTCGGACAATGCGCGCCTGCAAGGTCTGACTAGTTGGACCTTTCCCACCTACTCGGACATGAGACCAGCTGGCATAGCTACATGCAACTGGCCTTGCTGACATGCACTATATGATCATCGTGATGCCCATAGCACCAAAAGCAACTATCTGCTTGCCTCCAAAATTCTTATACGAGACTACGTTACCCAGATACGGCGATACGGATACGGATACGCGATACGCCGATACGCCATCTTTCCAAAAACAAGATACGGGGATACGCATATATATATATATATACATACTAGTATATATTAAAAAATAGAAAAAAATTGAAGAGTAAATTAGACATTAGCATATATAGCAGAGCACGCAAGGCACCGTTCGTTCCAGGGTGTTTGGGGAGATTGAGTCTCGTTTTCCGCGCGCACGCTTTTCAAACTACTAAACGGTGCGTTTTTTGCAAAAAATTTCTATAGGAAAGTTGCTTTAAAAAACCATATTAATCCATTTTTGAAATTTAAAATAGTTAATACTTAATTAATCATGAGCTAATGGCTCACCTCGTTTTGCGTATCTTCTCAATCTCCTCAATCCCCTTCCCCTCAAACACACCCCAAGTCATCACCATCAGATTCCAGCATCTTACCAAAGTAGGAATAATATAAAGCTAAACCAATGCATATATAAGTGTAGGATTACAATATCTCAACATACCTCCACGGGGGCTTCTTTTCATCATCATTGGGTGGAATCACACGAACAGCATTCTAAGATGTTGCCAGCCATTGTTGGTCCACTGCCACTAGTTGTTCGTCTCTCTTGATGCATCACCAAGACACCAACAACATTGCCACTATTATTGCTACCACCGCCACTACTTCCACTTCTAAAATCTATTGAATCTAACAAATACGATGGAGACCTGAGGAGATTTACCAGCGGCTTGCAGCTGCTGACGACGGCGGCGCTGCGCCCGGCGGAGACGACGGCGGACGCGTGGAGCTGCAGGCCTGCAGCTGCTGACGGCGGCGGCGCTGCGCCCGCCGGAGACGACGGCGGAGCTGCAGCTGCTCCGCGGCGCTACGGCTGCTGACCGCGGCGGCGCGGCCCGGCGACGGTGGACGGCGGCGGCGTGGCCCGGCGACGGTGGATGGCGGCGGCGCGGCCCGACGACGGTGGACGGCGATGGCACCGGCTCGGCGACGGTGGACGGTGGCGCACGAGAGAACGAGCAGGTTTGGGGAGGCGGCGCTGCGATTTGGGGGAGGGGAGTTTGGCTCGCGGGTTGGGATTTTGATCGATGGATTTAGGGATTGGAGTATCGGAGACGTATCGGGATTTTCTTTATTTATCTGAAAATTGTAAAAAGAGGGGATACGTACGAGATACGTATCGAGGCGTATCCGATACGTATCCGTATCCGGAGGCGTATCCGATACGGATACGTGGCCTCCCAGGCGTATCCAGGTAACGTAGATACGAGACAGGTAGACTAAGGTAATTAGTAAGATTGATTTTTAATTAATCTACTAATTTCGTAGATACATCTGGCATGTGTCTATAAAGGTACATAATATTTTATATGAAATTTATCGTACCTATGTTAATTTCAAGTTGTTAGATCAATAATTTATTATATTTACCTAGAGCATGTTTTTATACAATATCTATTGTGCGAGTGTTTCCGACGTTAAACCGACTACGGTCTAACGCTGGGGGCTCGCTCTGTTCTCTTCTGTATGAATCATGCTTGTTTACGGTTTACATAATGCCTGATATTTACATCTGCTCGTTATATCCTGATAATACTAGAAGATCCACGCATTTTTTTGATTACATACTCGATATTCTCTACGATATGCCTTGCCTTCTAGAAAAATATTTTTTAGGAACAATTGAGCACTCGAGTAGGTTGTGGTCGAGCACACCACATTATCGAGAACGTTTTCGACAAATGCAGAGTTGTCGCACCCAACCTACCAACGAAGACCGACGACCTATCTCATAGCACTGGCTATGGCTAGGCTATTTGAGAAAAAGGTTGTTAACGGATAATTGCTTGCAAACGATGTCGGCTTGATCACCCGACATGATTGCGGACGGACACCTGGATATGCTACAAGTTGGGTATGTGAGTCATGATGGCCACATGAGATGCACATGTAATAAACCAACTCTAGCGACCCATTGGTAATCGTAACAATTTCTCGCACCGCAACTTCCATTGGCGTTCGAGAGATAATTCTACTCGCTGGTTCTCGAACCAGTAAATCGTAGCAATCTCTCGCACCACGACATCCATTGGTGTTCGAGAGATAATTCTACTCGCTGGTTCTCGAACCAGTAAATCGTAGCAATCTTTCGCACCACGACTTCCATTGGCATTCGAGAGATAATTCTACTCGCTGGTTCTCGAACCAGTAAATTGTAGCATTCTCTCGCGCCTTAACTTCATATGGTTGAGGTACGAGTACGGCAATAGCGTAGCGGTCCTCGCACCACGACTTCAGAAGGTCAAGGTACGACTACGACTGGTCTTCGACCAGCAGCGTAGTGGTCCTCGCCCCACGACTTCAATCGGTCGAGAGATAAGGCTACTCCTGGTTCTTGAACCAGTAAATCGTAGCTTTCTCTCGCACCGCAACTTCCATTGGTGTTCGAGAGATAATTCTACTCGCTGGTTCTTGAACCAGTAAATTGTAGCAATCTCTCGCATCGTAACTTCCATTGGCGTCCGAGAGATAATTCTACTCGCTGGTTCTCGAACCAGTAAATCATAGCAATCTCTCACGCCTTAACTTCAGATGGTCGAGGTACGACTACGGCAATAGCGTAGCAGTCCTCGCACCACGACTTCCGATGGTCGAGGTCGAGGTACGACTACGACTGGTCTTCGACCAGCAGCATAGTGGTCCTCGCACTACAACTTCAATCGGTCGAGCGATAAGGCTACTCCTGGTTCTCGAACCAGTAAATCGTAGCAATCTCTCGCACCGCAACTCCCATTGTTGTTCGAGAGATAATTCTACTCGCTGGTTCTCGAACCAGTAAATCGTAGCAATCTCTTGCACCGTAACTTCCATTGGTGTCCGAGAGGTAATTCTACTCGCTGGTTATCGAACCAGTAAATTGTAGCAATTTCTCGCATCGCAACTTCCATTGGCGTTCGAGAGATAATTCTACTCGCTGATCTCGAACCAGTAAATTGTAGCAATCTCTCGCGCCTTAACTTCAGATGGTCGAGGTATGACTACGGCAATAGCGTAGCGGTCCTCGCACCACGACTTTCGATGGTCGAGGTACGACTATGACTGATCTTTGACAAGTAGCGTAGTGGTCCTCGCACCACGACTTCAACCGGTCAAGAGATAAGGCTACTCGTGGTTCTCAAATTTAATTAACCATGGAGAATTTAATTAACCATGGAGAATTAATAAAACTTAAATCCAGCCATGCTTTATATTTAGGAAATTTTATTTCTCACATTTAATTTCACTTGTAAATTAATGAACATTTAATATAAATTCTAATAATAATTTATTAAATAATTTATAAATCCTGAAACAAAAATCAGGATGTGACAGTACGACTACGACTGGTCTTCGACCAACAGCGTAGTGGTCCTCGCACCACGACTTCAATCGGTCGAGAGATAAAGCTACTCCTGGTTCTCGAACCAGTAAATCGTAGCAATCTCTCGCACCGCTACTTCCATTGGTGTTCGAGAGATAATTCTACTTGCTGGTTCTCGAACCAGCAAATCGTAGCAATCTCTCGCACCGGAACTTCCATTGGTGTCCGAGAGATAATTCTACTCGCTGGTTCTCGAACCAGTAAATCGTAGCAATTTCTCGCACCGCAACTTCCATTGGCGTTCGAGAGATAATTCTACTCGCTGGTTCTCGAACCAATAAATTGTAGCAATATCTCGCGTCTTAACTTCAGATGGTCGAGGTACGGCTACGGCAATAGCGTAGCGGTCCTCACACCACGACTTCAGATGGTCGAGGTTTGACTACGACTGGTCTTCGACCGGCAGCGTAGTGGTCCTCGCACCACGACTTCAATCGGTTGAGAGATAAGGCTATTCCTGGTTCTCGAACCAGTAAATCGTAGCAATCTCTCGAACCGCAACTTCCATTGGTGTCCGAGAGATAATTCTACTCGCTGGTTCTCGAACCAGTAAATTGTAGCAATTTCTCGCATCGCAACTTCCATTGGCGTTCGAGAGATAATTTTACTCGCTGGTTCTCGAACTAGTTAATTGTAGCAATCTCTCGCGCCTTAACTTCAGATGGTCGAGGTACAACTACGGCAATACCATAGCGGTCCTCGTACCACGACTTCAGATGGTCGAGGTACGACTATGACTGGTCTTCGACCAGCAGCGTAGTGGTCCTCGCACCACGACTTCAATCGGTCGAGAGATAAGGCTACTCCTGGTTCTCGAACTAGTAAATCGTAGCAATCTCTCGCACCGCAACTTCCATTGGTGTTCGAGAGATAATTCTACTTGTTGGTTCTCGAACCAGTAAATTATAGCAATCTCTCGAACCGCAACTTCCATTGGTGCCCGAGAGATAATTCTACTCGCTGGTTCTCGAACCAGTAAATTGTAGCAATTTCTCGCATCGCAACTTCCATTGGCGTTCGAGAGATAATTTTACTCGCTGGTTCTCGAACTAGTTAATTGTAGCAATCTCTCGCGCCTTAACTTCAGATGGTCGAGGTGCGACTACGGCAATAGCATAGCGGTCCTCGTACCACGACTTCAGATGGTCGAGGTACGACTACGACTGGTCTTCGACCAGCAGCGTAGTGGTCCTCGCACCACGACTTCAATCGGTCGAGAGATAAGGCTACTTCTGGTTCTCGAACCAGTAAATCGTAGCAATCTCTCGCACCGCAACTTCCATCGGTGTTCGAGAGATAATTCTACTCGCTGGTTCTCGAACCAGTAAATCGTAGCAATCTCTCGCACTGCAGCTTCCGTTGTTGTCCGAGAGATAATTCTACTCGCTGGTTCTCGAACTAGTAAATCGTAGCAATTTCTCGCACCGCAACTTCCATTGGCATTCGAGAGATAATTCTACTCGCTGGTTCTCGAACCAATAAATTGTAGCAATCTCTTAACTTCAGATGGTCGAGGTACGACTACGGCAATAGCGTAGCAGTCCTCGCACCACGACTTCAGATGGTCGAGGTACGACTACGACTGGTCTTTGACCAGCAGCGTAGTGGTCCTCGCACCAAGACTTCAATCGGTCGAGAGATAAGGCTACTCCTTGTTCTCGGACCAGTAGGCCGTAGCGATCTCTCGTACCTCGACATCAATCGGTCGAGAGATGAGGCTACTCCTGGTTCTCGGACCAGTAGGCTGTAGCGATCTCTCGCACCTCTACTTCTAGTGGTCGATTTAAAGCTACACCTGGTTTTCGACCAGCGGTGTTGCGATACTCTCACTAGCTTTACTTCTCGTGGTCAAGTTAAGGCTACACCTGGTTCTCGACCAGAGGTGTAGCGATACTTCCATTACCTTTATTTCTCATGGTCGAGTTAAGGCTGCACCTTGTTCTCCACCAGCGATGTAGCGATACTCCCACTAGCTTTACTTCTCGTGGTCGAGTTAAGGCTACACCTGGTTTTCGACCAGCGGTGTAGCGATACTCCCACTAGCTTTACTTCTCGTGGTCGAGTTAAGGCTACACCTGGTTCTCCACCAGTGGTGTAGCAATTCCTTCCACTACATCCACTTCTAGTGGTTGAGTTACGACTACTACATGGTCCTTGACCAGTGGTGTAGCGATTCTCCCACTACCTTTACTTCAAGTGGTCGAGTTGGGGCTACAACTGGTTTTTGACCAGCGGTGTAGCGATCCTCCCAATACCTCTACTCCAACAAAGTTGATATCAGGTACACAATATTGTCAATTGTTTTACCCAGAGATCCCTTACCACGACGACACCTAGAGTTGAAACCTATCCTCATGTCCCTTTACGCCGTCCTGACAAGGCCTCTGAGGAACCTAGGGGAACTTCAGTTAGGGACATCCAGAGCGGATAAGGCCTTGTCGGATCATGTAGAGACAAACGACCATGTAAAACCTGGTCATATAAGAGTTCTCGCCGTGCGTATTAACCAAGCCGTGTAATCAAATTGAGTTTTCCAACTTCACGGCTAGGGGTTAGGGTCAGTGCTTTTTTCAACCAAGGAAGGTCAAGGGTCCAAGAGCCTTCTCCTCCGAGAACTTATCTCCGATGACAAGGCTGGGGGCTAGGGAGAGTGTATGACTCAACAAACTGACTGATCGAAGTCGGTAAAAGAGAAGACGCTCGCACATAAAACATTGGTCTGTAAATTTAATTCATTTTTAGTTTTCCATACATATTATAACATGTCACCATTTGAGCGTTCGCTCGGGGGCTATTTCTATCTAATATTCTTTTCTGAGTATTGATTTCAGGAAAACTCTAATTGACATTGTTGAAGACTCCATGTCTCTATGGTTCTACACTAAGATCGACTAAGGCGAGTACGACAAATGTTGACAAGGTTCCGTCGCAGACTCTGCGCCTTCTCGATCACTCGAGAACGGTTGGTGGATCTCGACAAGGAATACGGAATGAAAAGATGGTGTACCCGCTGAGATAAAATTTCTTGACTTCAATCCAAATTCTCAATTACAGCAAGACGAGAGACTTAGTCGTATGCTCTGTACTTTCTTGGTTGATGTCGGGGATTGACTCAGACAAACCCTATAGGTGCCCGCACAAGGCTGATAAGGGAAGTCTAATGTTATCTCTGAACTCACCGAGAACGGTCATGTAAGCTCGATAACAGTTATTCCAAGGTCTTCGGATTGAGAATATGAACTCGTTCATTTGCATTGAAGTCGAGGGCTACTGTCAGGGTTATGGATACCATACCACATACCTAATAGTAGTTGACTAAATCTCGGCAGGACCCACCACATACCATGTCTTATACGGAAACAACCTTTGGATATAGGAGGAGTTCCGCATAAGGAATGATGAATAGAGTTCTACATGGAAACGACAAAGGACTACTCGGATTGTATCCATATTGGTTTCCCTAGTTCTACTTGGACAAGGGGACACCTATGGGTATAAATACAAGGCCCCTTAGGAGGAGGGGGGGACGGAGCAATAGATCAAGATACAACATACAAGCCAAAATACGCCAAGAGAAGCCGCCGGATATTGACATTGGACATAAGCCTAGTTAGTCCCCATACGGTTCCTACGACTACCGTCAGGAGGGATCTAGCGCTGTCTCTGATATCACCGGACACGGATTCGAGGAGGAAGACTACCCTGTTGTCGACTACGGGATGGTTTTATGGCCGCCAAGTCGACAACAGATAGATAGGCTACCCCAAATATTGTACTGGTGTGATTATGGTGAATAAGAGTAACGACCGGCTTCGGCCAACAGGAGCAGGGTCATTACCTGACAATTTAGGGGCTCGAACCTGTATAAAAATCCTCGTCCCCATCTCTTTTACCTCGATCTCGCATATACCCTGGTACCAACGATCCCCGTACTATGCAAATACCGGAATCGCGATATCAAACGTCGACATATTTTGCATAATTTCTTAAAATTACAATGTACTGTTGAGGCGATATTGAAGGTTGATTCCTGGCTTCTCTTTGCAGTGTGTTTTATTGGAATTGGATGTAAAATTAGTGTTTCTTAATAATCTAGCACAACTGGAAATTGCAGAAGGTTTCTGTCGACATAACCATATTACTCACTATCTGAACCTTCTGCAAATATTTTGTCCACTTGGGAGATGGAGCTATTTCTGAATATTTGTTGTTTCACTAAAGCTCTTCGAAATTGCAGTGCTAATTCACTGAATATTACTGTGAACAGTGACTTACTACACATCTGTTATCTTTTCAGGAAAAGAGAAATGGAAGCTAGCAGCGCCAAAGGAAGAGCTGAGACTCTGATTGTCTGTCTAGTGTCCACTGCAGATAAGGAACTTGAAGTGCATATGGCCAATATAGCTAAATTAGCTTGTACTACTCCTGAAGGGCGTTGTTTTGTTTGTCTTTTTCTTCTGAAATCTGGACCAGATGGTCTTGCATGCTGTGAATATATGGTGTTGTAAACAGTTGTCAATGAGCACATTGTAATTTCTACTTATCAGATTAGGTACAGTGATCTCATATGAATACATATTTCCAGATTTCATCAGGATTTGCATCCATCTGGTTATAAATCTCCAAAACATAGGAAATCTCCACAAAATAAAGCCCAATATCTTATTATAAACCTCCAAAACAGTGGAATGGCAAACTACAGTCTCATTTTCTTTAGACAAAAGACGGTTACCCCGTCCAGCTTTTACTTGAAAGCATAAGAGTTCATACAGTATTTAAAGAAACAAAAGGGAAAAGGAAAATACAAACTGACGGGGTTTCCAGAATTCCAGCTTTCAAACCAATCACGAGGAGCACCAAGGCTCTCAGCTGGCTGCTAAAAGGGTATCTAGATACAGAGACAAAGAAGGTCTAGGCTGCTGGCACAGCAAAACTACAGTCTCATGTCAATAAATAATTACCAAAGCACGACTACTCCTTACATGTTCCATAATTTCATATTTAATCAAAATATAACTTCCGAGCAGCCATGGCATCTTGATCAAGTCCAAACAAAAGACTTGTATATTCTCCATGGATTGGAGGAGCAACCATGGTTGAAAAATCTTCATGCATATTATCATCAACGTTTGCATCAAAAGAGCCCTAATAAAAAAATAAAATTATTCAGGCCAAGTGTAGCTAAATGAATTATTGAAAGGAAAACAAGGTCATTAATCTTACAATCAATTCGTCTGGATCATCATCAATCAATAACTCCCCTAACCATCTCCTTTTTCTCCGTTTTTTCAAAATTTTTTTTGCTCCTTGGGATACTGACACGGTGCTCCATTCGGAGCAGGGCTTCTCAATTGGGCAAGGGAGACTGGCAGCACTCTATTCCAACGGTCATTGCCCTGTTTGAATAAAACAAGAGGTCCCCTCGTGTCCGGTTTTATCAACTGGTATGGGCGGTGAGGCCATGCATGCAGGACACGCAAACTCCTTCATATTTTTCGTACAAGTCCTTCATACATGGAGAAATCATGAAGAAATACTTCCACCACTTTTAGGCCTTGTTCGGTTGGGCCGTTCCCGGCCGGGATCGGGGACCGATCCCCGTGGATCACCCCGGCGAGGAAACAATCCCGGCCCATCCGAAATTGTGTGTTCGGTTAAGCCCAGTCTGGGTTTTACCCCGGCCTATCCCGGCCTTTCCCCCTCACCTAGGCCCGGGAAAAAATCAGCTTCTCGTGTGGCGTGGAAAATTTCCTCACGACGGGAGCCAGGAGGCGACGTGCAACACGCGTAGCGGCAGCACGACGCGGAGGCGATTCGAGGTGGCGCAACGGTGGGGGCGGCGCGACGCGGAGGCGACGGCGACGACACGGCGCTCTCCTCCGGCCGCCATCTTCTCTCCGGTGAGCACGCAGCCTTTTCCCCTCTCCCCTCCTCTTCCAAAGATAGGGTTAGGGTTTTCTTCTTTTCTCCCTTTCCCGTCGTCGCCGCGATTCGTCGTCGTCCTCCTCGTATTCTGCTCGATCTGGTGAGTTCTTGATGTGGGTGAGGATTAGTGAGTTCTTGATCAGATGGGGAATGAGCTTTTTTTCTTGGTTGGGTGGGGATGAGTTCTTGATTCGCCACCGCCGCCGCCGCACGTCCTAAACCATATCATTAGTTCTTGATTTGGGCGTGGTGAGTTCTTGATTGCTGCATTTCCCTGTGAGTTCTTACTCGTGGTGAGTAAGATCGGAGCTGCGAAGGCTGTCCATGGCAATGCAGAATATAATAACTCTCTGGAGGTTAGAAGAGGGCAACTTGGGCTTTAAACTGTATGATTTCTCTAACATAAAAGATGCAACTAATAATTTCTCAGGTGAAAGTTTGCTTGGAAAAGGTGGTTTTGGATCTGTCTACAAAGTAAGTTCAGATTTCAGAGTCACACTCTATTACCAGTAGCTAGCAAGCAAGTGTTTAGTGTTTTCAAGGCTGAATTGTGCTTCCACACGTTCTAATTTCTAGAGAGAGAAACTAGAAGAAGGTTGAGGTGTTCATCCTTTTCTACATTCACCATATATCTGTTATACACTTGAGTCTGAAACTTTGTGCATTATAATGTTCACTGGTTTTATTTTATGTATGTACAACAAGAAATGGATTGTTGCATTAGTTCAGTTCAACATGTTTTCATAAGATTATACTTCATGTCATGTGCAACATGTTTAAGAATGCTGAAAGTTGACAAGATATTAATTTTTGTGATGTGAATATAATAATTCCTATGTCAATTTGTTTCTGTCTAAAGTGTTATTATGAATATTAATCATGCATGATGAAGATGATCATTTACAACTAGCTTATATGCTATTTTTAGAAGAAAAAAAATCATTTTTTGTTTGTGTGGCATGGCAAAAGGCAATGCTTGCATAAGTTCCTCGAAGTACTGTAGATTAAAGTTAATGGTATTTGTGTATACCAATGTCACCATATGGATGCATGGGGGCATAGGAGCATGTTGCTTAATTTCTGGATCATTGTTCTGAACATGGTTAAACTTCAGAAAATTGCAAGTAGTTTGTATGGTCTTCCATTCAAAACTATATTAGATAATGCTTAATTTTTAGTTGTTATAATCTACCTCTCTTTGGGGTTACCCACAAGTAGTTGTCAATTGCTGGAATTTTAAATTACCATATACATATCCTCAATCAGCTCTATTATGGTCTTACATAATTTTTCGTAATTCTCCTGTGATGACAGTTGGAGAAGATGCTGATGATGGTGTAAATTATGGAACTGGAAGGCTGTAAGGATCTTTTTGTTGCAGGGGCGCTGAAGGATCAATTATGCATCTGCACTGCACTTCTTTCAATATGTCTAAAATATTTATTAAGCATAGACTTTAGAAGCTAGGACTGATCGATATTCTTAACTTATATTAGATAATGCTATGTTTCGACTGAAAAGCAAAAGTGACATTTGATGTTCATTGGAGATTACAGTAATTACTCCACTGAGTATATTTTATTTGTACGATAAGATATTAGCAAATTACGTTGCTATGTTTGATGCTTCCTCCGTTTGATGCTCTGAAGTTGATGCATATAAACTGCCAAGCTGAACATCAACTCAATAGCAGCGTTGAAGCAGGAAAGCACCAATCCTGCTATTGTTGATCGTGACCAAACCGAACACATGGATTTGAGAGGGGGATTAGTGGGTAGGGAGGGATTCATCCCCAACAGGGATTGAGTGACATGAGAGGGATTCACTCAATCCCTCCTGGATTGATTCCCCTTGGGGATTAAATCTCTAGTAACCGAACAAGGCCTAATATAGTTTTATTGCACTGTAGTTTATATAGAAAACCCCATGTATATTTGAGAAATATAATACAAAGGAAAGAAAATTCGGTTTCTGGGGATGGCGCTGTAATCCTAATAAATACGAGGTTGTTTTTGAAAAAAGAACAAGTGTTATCCTGAACCATACCTCGTGTCAGTCTGTCCCCTGGCTGCCTGGTCCCCAACGTCCCCCCGGCCTCCGGCGCAGCCCTCCTCCTGTGCCTCCTCTGGTCCCGGCCTCCGCCCGCGTTGCGACGGCGGTGGCGGAGCCTGTGCTGGTGTCCCCCTCCCCTCTTCTTCTCCCTCCCCTCACCCTGTCCCTTCTCTGGATCGACGGAGCCAGCAGTACCGGCGGTGGCGGAGGTGGCGACGGGGGGGGGGGGGGGGGGAGGACGAGGTGGCGGTGAGGAGGTACTGTTGCCGTCCCCTCGCGCCTCCGCACGCGCTGCGCCCGTCGGACCTGCCGCCGATGCCGCCTCCCTCCTTCTTCTTACTCCCCTTGTGGTGGCATCGGCGGGGGAGGACGGACGCGGCACCCGTCGGAGCTAGCGCAGGTGCTTCCTTACTCCTTCTCCCTCCACTTGGTGGCAGCTGCGGCAGGGGGAGGGCGGATGCGGCGCCCGTCGGGCCCTGCGGTGGCGGCGGAGCTGACCGCGCGACCGCCACTACCTCCTCGTCATTTCCCTAGCCGTCGTCTCCGGCCGTGAGGAGGCTGTTGGCCTGTTGCCACTGGATCCAGCGACCCCGGCCACTTCGCCGGCGGCTCTGGTCGACCGGAGTAATTTGACGCTGGCCGGTGCCGTGCTCTTCGTCTCCACCATGCTGTCGCTTCCTCTATCCTGCCCTCTTGCCCCGCTCGGTGGGGTGCCGGATTTGCTTCTAGGTTCGTCGGATCCGATGACCTCGGTCTCCCCCCTGCACTCTTCTTCTCTTCCTCCCCGTCCTCCACCGTCCCTCTCTCCCTTTCCCCCTCTTCCTTTTGCTCTTCACTCCTCTCTATGCCAGATCCGGCTCATGGACTGCGTGGTCTGTTACAAGGATGGTGTAGGAGCGCTTGGTTTGTGGGGCGGCCAAGCAACTGCTGCGAGGCCGGGCCGTCGGGGAGTAGGGAGAGAGAGCGGCAGTTCCGCGACGACTACAACGACGACTTTGGCAAGGCACGACGGTTGCGATGGCGAAGGCCACTATCCGGGTTGGTTGTTCCTGCTCGCTCGGTTGGTCCTTCTCTCTTTCTTTTCATTTGATTGGGTTCTTTTATTTGGGGATTTGATGAGGATTACTGGATTGATTAGCTAAAAAAAACTCATGTTTAGTTTCTCCGGTGAACTTCTTATGGAAGATATTTTTTCTGGTAGTTGATGGGTAGTGTCCTATTGTCCTATAGGAGATAATGGTTTTGTTTGGGGGAAATGGTGAGGATGTGGTTTTGATGTGTGATTTGCTGATTAATCATATCAGTATACAAAACAAAACATATCACCTATTTTCAGTACATAAATAAAACGATTCGTGGAATTCTCTTCTTCTGCTATTTGATCTTACTCTGCATGTGTTGGTTAGCAAGCTGGATTAGAATGGCTTAGTAGAAGCTTATATATATTTCTGTCAACTTGTCATCGTTCGCTTCATTCAGGCGTAGTTCGTTTATGAAGCAGTCTATTCTACTTGTGCCGTCTTCGGATCAGATTTTCAGAAGAAATGGGATTCTAATCCCAACTGGCCTTTAGATCTTGTGATTGACATGACTATGGCTGTGTTCTTGGGAGGGGTTGGAACCCCTCCCCTCCGCACAAAAAATGGAGCGATAGATTAACACGTGATTAACATCCTCAAAAGAAGACATAAAATCATTTCTATAGATTGCTCGGTTTACAACTCACATTAACTGACACGATTTTTGGCAACTGAAGGTATTAGCTGCTACACAAATGCCAGGGGAGGCTGCTGGTTGGTTCCGGGATACAGCAGATGCAGTTGAAAATTTTTTCTGGGCACTTGAGGTAACCACTATTTAGAAGCACACAATGCATATGCGGCTCATACTTTCATTTGGATTGCTAAAGAAATATTCACTATGTTGTATGCGATGTATATATTCAGGACTATATAGCACATTTTAAGCTTGTCAGGGGATCAGCTTTATCGTATGGATTACATGAAGCTCATGCAGGTTTGTTCTGCTCTCATTCTTCTGTACTTTTACACATGCTTTTCTTTTGCACTGGCAGACCCTCCAACATATGCCATTCACCATTCGCAGAAACATTTTGACAACAGTGCTGACATTACTTCATCATGTGCTCCTGTTGGAAAGAGGTGTATTGATTGTACAATATTTCAAAAGTTAGCTAATTTTATCAGCATTTGTGTCAGAATGCAGTGCATCCTGATTTGCTTTTCTTTGTTATGGAAGCCAAGCGTCTGACTTGGAAGCAATGGTTAGAAGTAACCTTGTGCCAGGCTCAGATATATGTTTGAACTTCCAGGACATGAAACAACTTGTAGTATCTGAAGTATAAGCCATTGATCATTGTAGAAAGTGGATATCAGCTTTCTCAATTTTTCCATAGACGACCCGACTAAATTTCCCTACAAGTAAATTTTTTAAGCTTGTGCGCTATGTGACTCATTTTCACTGTTTGGGAAATCATGCCTTATGTTCCAATTTGGTAATAGTCATGTCCACTTTCAGTCTGTATTGCCTACTTGCATCAAATTCAGTATATACAATCATGAATCATGTCCACCTTGTGGTGTGAACTGAACGTCCATCCGCTTTTTTTGTTTATAGGCATATGTCTTCGCTGACTACTAGGAAGACATTGGAACGATCAGATTGTTCTTTGATGCAAACATGGCACTCTGTGAGGAGGTAATCTTTATTTGCCATTAGTGATGTTTTGAATTATTTCCATTTTCAATGAACTACTTTGGTTAGGCTGACCGTTTAGTAATGGGCACATGTTTATTGATTTTTAAGCAATACCAGGGTGCATACTTACATGAGTTAGGCTGACTTTTATCCTATGAATTCAATCATTTCATTTTTTGGATTGGTGTCTGGACCGTCAATTATATTAAGGATACTATTTTTGGTGGTGCATTGGAGTTGCAATCCTCTATATTGAGTTACCTACCGAAGGCTGTCATGAAGCCTTGCACATGAATATAGATAAGAAGTGGATACGCAGCCTACAAATCCTGAAAATAAAGTGAAACATTATAGCAAAAATAATCAATAGGGTCTGGCGTTAAATATTTAGTAGTTAGAATCATTTTCAGAGAAAGGCTAAACCCTGCTATTTCGGCTTACTGTTTTTGTGATGCCTTTGTTGTGTGTTCTACAGGAAGCTCTTGATGTTCTTCAAGAAGGGCACTGAGCAGAACCGTGGAGAATAATCTATGTTAAAATTATAATTTGTATGTTTACATGTGTATGCTTGTTTTCGATTCATGGATGTCTGCCTACCTACCTGTTGATGTGTTGTTACTTTGCACGTCCGCGTCCCACTGCAGCAACTGTCGTCGTGGCATGAGCGAAAACTTGGTCTCGATACCACGCCATCTCCTTCATTCGCTCACATTTAGCTGCCTATGTTTGTTTGTAACAAAGAAATAACAGGGTGAAATTTATCTTTACCAGTATTTAGCCACTCCATGTATTCGCCATCACTCATGTATTCATGTTCCCTTCAAGGCAAGCAACGCATTGTCTTCTAATTAAAAAATTCATGCAGCTGTGATCAGGGTTTAACTTACCGCCGGTAACCGCGTGGTTACCGCGGTTACCGGGCTTACCGTGGGGGTACGGTAATATAAATACCGCGGTAACCTCCTTAAATACAAATAAATTTAAAAAATAATTTGAATTTTTGATAAATTTTGCACGGTTTTGTACGGTTTTTCACGGTTACCGCGCGGTAACCGTGCTTACCGCCGGGGCGCGGTAACCCCGGCCCCGGCGGTAAGGTAAACCCTGGCTGTGATCGTGCGCGGCGTATCGCCGCGCATGCCCTTCTAGTTTCTCCAATATCTGTTGATTTCTTTGGATCTTCTCCTTTAGATTACACATATAAAAGGGAATCAATATTACTAGCTAAAAAGAGGTATGTAAAAAATATTTTTAAGTGAGAAGCACCACCTTTTTTCTTAGCAGCATTTCCTTTCTTCCCTTTCTTCTTTTGAAGTACAGTTTTTGATCTTTTATTCTTTGGACCTTTTATGACCTGAGGAACTCTGATTGATACTTTACCTTTTAATGTCTCCAACATATCCACTAGAACTTTGAGAAACCTCATAAGTTTTGGTGTGTATTTTGCTCAGTGAATTATCTGCTTCTAGGTCCAACTTGTCTATAGCTTTTTTCATATCATCAAGAAGTTCTTTTGATACTGAGCACTTCAATGCAACAGAGGTCGCCTTCCGAGAGATACGCGCTGCATGTGTTCTCAAAGTTTCATTGTCACTTATTTGTTTCTTCTCAAAATAAAAATCTCTTTTTGCATATTTTGTCCATCTATTTAGTATATACTGAGTTGGCAAGATGAAAACCTCATTTTTATGTGAAAAATGCTTGTACATACCAATGCATTCATACATGTGACGAGAACATGTTATTGTTTTGTCCTCGGAGTTGAAGACAACTATTGCTTCATCCTGAAATTCTATAGGCATCATCTTATCAGTCATGATTGACCCTTCAGATTTCAGGAATTTGCATGAGAAAGAAAACTGGACTAGCAAGATAGTGATCGTGCTCGAGGACAACCTTTTGCATTTTCCAAATTCCCTCACGACTTATACTGAATTGAACACGAGCATTGCAACACATCCTTGTAGTAGCATTTTCTTTTGAAGTGACATGTGATGAGTGCTTTCCTCGTTCTCCTTGGTTGATGCAAACTATGCTTCTGGTATATAGGTCCTGTTTAGATCCTTCAAAATGGTAAAAGTTTTACCTTTTTAAAGCACTTTTTGCCATTTTGGATCTAAACACTAGTAGCAAAACTTGACAATTTGGCATTTGGCATTTGCTAGTCCATAGTAGCAAATTGTGCCAAAAAGTGTTTTGGGACCACTCCCTCTCTCTTTCTCTCTCTCACTTTAGTGCTAGAATGACAAAAGTTTAGGATGCATCTAAACACCTACTAGTACTTTTGCAATACCAAAATTTTTGCCACCAAAACTTTTGCCATTTGCCATTTGCTATTCCAAATGGATCTAAACAGGGCCATAGTCTTGTCTGGTCTCAATCTTGTGGAGTCGTAGTGCTCTTTCTAATACTAAGGCCCTGTTTAGATGGGACTAAAACTTTTAAGTCCCTATCACATCGGATGTTTGAATATTAATTATAAATATTAAACGTAGACTATTAATAAAACCCATCCATAATCTTGGAGTAATTCGCGAGACGAATCTATTGGGCCTAACTAATCCATGATTAGCCTATGTGATGCTACAGTAAACATTCTCTAATTATGGATTAATTAGGCTTAAAAAAATTGTCTCGTGAATTAGCTTTCATTTATGTAATTAGTTTTGTAAGTAGTCTATATTTAATACTCTAAATTAGTGTCTAAAGACAGGGACTAAAGTTAAGTCCCTGGATCCAAACACCACCTAAAACCAATTTTCCCGGCATATGAGTTGTACATATCATACGCATCTCTTATACCAATTTCGGGGTCTGGGATCTGGGTTTCCATTGGGCCACGAGGCGCACTATAATTTTGGTTAGACATCTCTAAAAATCTGCCACGCGTCCATCTGGATAACCCTTCGTTTCTCGCCTCTCACGGGCCGGCGACGCCTCCTCCCCTGTCCCCTCCTCTTCCTTCTTGCCCGGGCTCTTCCAATTCCATGCCCCCCCCGGCCCGCCACTCCTCTCAATCCGCACCGCCACGCCATACCTCCTTCCACTTCCCCAGTGAGAGCACGGTGTAGTTCGAGAGAACGTCTCCCCTACCCAGCCGCTTCTAGACGACAACACAGGTGTTCCTGCCGGATCTAACAGTACCTAGCTGCAAGGCGCCAGAGCTTGCCGCCGTAACCTCCATGGCTGGATCCAAGGCGGACCGCAGCGAGGAGAAAGGGGCTGCTTCCTCCGCACCGCCCTAGCTTGAGAAGATGTTCGAGGTGCCAGTGGAGTTGTTGGTGGCCGGCAGTCGGACGACATCACCGAAGACGCGAGAGTCGGAGCTGGTCAGCCATTTCCTGGGTGGCACCGAGCCGGCCCTGTCCGTGCAGCTCGGCGACCTCGGCCACCTCGCCTACTCCCATCCCATGCCAACCAAGCCCTCTACCGCCGAACGGCCCAAGATACTGGAATCATGCTTTCACTCTTAACAAAGCTTCATTTTGTAGTTGAAATTGCACAAGCTGTGCTGTTCTTTGCCATGGATTTTGTGTTATCTTACCAAGAGCAGAACAAAATTGGTAATTGCTATTGATTTGTTGTATTCTTCCTGAGACAGACTCATTTACTCTGCTTTTACTCTGTAGTTAGACATGATTTGTTTCGTCTTTTGAGGAAGAGCCTAAAAAATAAGTTCAAGGCAAGATTTGGGACTTACCAATAGGAAGGACAAAAAATAGCTCAAGGCAAGGTTTGAGATAAGGTAACTCAGATTCATCTTGTAGTTTCCTTTTAATAATTTATCAGAGGAAACTAACCAATGTTACATATGTTCTACATTCCTCGGCAGCCTGTAGTGAAGCTGCTTAGTCCTGTTCTATCACTACCAACGCCTAAATGCAGCCCCTGTTTCCTCTTTTTTTTCTTTGATCGGATGCTTAATAAACTTACAGGAGGAAGTAGTGAGTTGGCATTGAATTTTGATACATGCAGGAAGTTCTTATGTTGGAAATATCCCTCCTCCCCTAGGTTATAGTGAGTTGGCAGATTGGGTGGCTAATTTCGGTTGAAGCGTAGTGAATAGCATAAATTTTGTGCTGAATGGTTTTGTCACAAATAGCGAGTAATTGACTTGCAGCCTTGGACTTCCGAAATTTGGTAGTGAGGAGTGGATGATTTACAAGGAGCTTTGCTAATTTTCGAGTAGAACCGTACAAATAAGAAGTTAACAGATGGAAAACATATATTTCAGCTTGTGCTACGTACATACAATCTTCAATCACAGGACACAAGTATGTAAGCTCCGATTTGTTGATATGTTAGTAACGGCACATACGACTTAAGTCTTCAGTTCAAAACTCATTTGTTTTATCAATATTTTGAGTTTTGTTGGTTGCTTTGTGAGCTGTAAAATTGTACAACGAGTTCTACAGGAGATCAATATATTTGTAATGGCTAGATGAAATTCTCCTGATACCTGAGAAGTTAGATAATTTTCCCACAATATATAAGCGTGCACCTTGTAAAATGCAGTTGACACACTGCAACATTCTAGAATTTGGAGTGCCAATAGCTCAATGGCGATTCTCTCTTTTGTAGTTATCTGATGAATATGATCACTAGGATAGTCTATTTTCAGCTAATTGGGCTACTTAGATTTTTTCAATGTCTGATATATAAATCACCAAATAAGTAACATGTTGTATGTCTAGACAGAAGAAAAAGCAGAGCTCACAGATTTTCCTCACTTTCCATTGAAGTTTGCTGTCTTGTAGAGTTAAGTATGCTAGACTCACAAATTTGAGTCAACTTGATAAAGACTACAGAGTCAAAAGTTTTGTGACATTTTTATGGTGCTTTATTTTTCCTTATTCATATCTTTTTCTTATCACAAGAATATTCAGTGGTATCATATCCACTTAATTCTAGAATAATGTCATTGCGTTGTATTGAAGTTCATTTCAAAAATTAGACATATCCACATATTTGAGTCTAACACTGTATTTTTCTTCAGTTTGTACAACCAATGTATGTCCAAAGAGAAAATTTGGGTTGGATGCATAGTCAGTCAATAGAGGAGAAACACAGCAGCCGGTTAAGTTACCCTGCAGGAATATTATAATTTTCTATTTAGTCAATGCTCAAATCAATGTAAAGCGAAATTTGTACTAATTAACAGCACACAAATATTGTACATGAGCTCTCCGCCGTTGGACAGCACGCTGGTGATGCTGCTGCTGCCCTCCTTCCTCTCCGAAGAAAGCTCCAGCAAGCTGATGTGGATGCTGTGTTGCTGCCCTCCTCTGCCCCCTTTTCTTTATGAAGATAGCTGATAGCTGCAGGACTAAATAGAGTAAATTTTCAGTTCAATTTTGGATTCATTTTACTGACCAAAGGTAGTAGGAATAATGAGGAAAAGCTCAGATCTACAGGAGCTCAACTGCAGAGGCAATGATGACATTCTGATTCGTATGTATATAGTGGAAATAGTTTGTACTAATGATGATCTGATCTCCTAATAGGTCCAAAACCTGTCAAATGCTGTGTATATAATGTATAAAGGATGCGAAATAAAACATGATTTGTGGTCCTTTGGGAATTTTTTTTTGTGTTGGTTATATAATTCCTTGTTTGATCAGCTTGTAAATGCTGAAAATCAAATAGTGGATTGCATAATCTATGGTAATTTGATCATATTGTTGCATGCTGAAAAAAATTCATGATATTTTCATAAGTAATTCACTAACCAATATATGGTTGTAAGGAGTGAGCGTGCCAAGGGCACGCCAATTTTCTAGTCATTTTCTGATTTGGAAGACATTCCAACTTGAGGTACTATTACATATTGACCATTCATGTTATCCACCTATAATATAATAAGAAAATTTTGAACGAATTACATATACCGATAATATATTAGATTGTTGTGAACAAGAAAGTTTGTTCGGAGCTATTTACCTCTGTTGGAGCTATTGTGGTTGCTGAACCTATCGAAGCATCTTCCACCGGCTCCGCTGAACCCATCGAAGCATCTTCCATTGTCTCGATGGTAGGAATTGAGGATGAAGGTGTTAAGTTGTGATCTAAATTTATTTGTACTTGAGTTGTACGGGTCGTAATACCTTTTAGGTTCCACCTCATATATATACCTCTTGTAAGCCGTCGTGCGGCGTTGTAACCTCACCCCGATCTGGCGTCCGTGGTTTTTTTTCTCTTGCTTTGGGAGGGTTTTCCAAGTATCTTCTGTGATTGATATATTGTTCTTTATTGTTTGTTTGCCTATCGTTTCCTAATAGAAGGAAGGGCAATTGCATCAGCTGACCACGGCTCCAACATTGAGATTTCAACGATGCCATCTGACTCTGGTGTTAGGGTTGATCGCAGCACGGGATGCGACGAGGTCCCACCGCCTATGGCCGGCTGCACGGCAGGGTTCGTCCATACTCTGAGCGGAGTCGTCAAACAGAGATGGCGGACATGTCTCGATCGTCGGGGCAGCAGGCAAGGAAACACACACTAGATCGATTAATTGTTCCAAACAAGAAAGAAGGAAGATCATAGGTCGCTCTGATGAAACAAGCGGTGGGCGCACGAAGCGACAGATGAGAGCGATGATTCGACTTCAAGGTGCGGGCCTGCGGCTTGGATTCCTCGCGATAGGCGTCGGCTCGGCTCCAACGAAAATCGTGATAGACGCGGCCCGTGCGGACGGCAGCTGGACACGCGTCGCCAGTTTGCACGGCGCTCCCGCATAGAATTTTTTTCCAAGGCTTATGGACTATGCCTTGGAGTAGAAGGCAATGCAACTTCCAAAGCCTAATCTATTATATAATATACGGATCTAGCCCACCTCCAACATTTATTCGGATAAGTTGTCCCTGTGGGTATATGGTATCCGTAATCTCTACAGTAGCCCCTGAGACTTTCACAGTTAAAAATATAATCTTCTCTCAATCTTTGTCATAGTCTCCCGAGTGCTTTCTTCTCAAACATGAGGCTATGGATGGCTCAAAAAATAATTAAGAATAAATTCTTAGGTGCATCGACGAGATGTACCTAATTAGGTTTAGCCCCAACTATGTGATTAGTTAAACATAATTAAACATATAAACATATATAAACATATAGTTAAAGAGTAAATAAATTAACCGGCCGAGTGGTTTTTAAAAATGTTGGCATTTGTGGGGTCAAATATGAGGTAATAATACTCAAAATGAATTTACCAACCGCCAGTTAATGAAAAAAAAAGGGGAATAATCAAAGTGGTCCTCCAAGTTTTATGCAAGGATCAGTTTAGTCCTTAATGTTTCAATCTGTCCATGTTAGTCCTTCAAGTTTTTATTTTAATTCAAACTTATCTTTGAACCCACGTAACCAACAACTCTCTTGATAAATGATACTTATACCCCCCTCATTCACATATATAAGAGAAAAATTGCATGCAATGAATTCTTTTTATAGATAATGCATAGCAGTTTATGTAAAACAAAAATAAATTATGTACTTGCAAGTATATACGATAGCCATTAGGCTCAAGTTTCACGTGCACATGTTGAAATAATGGGAAGTACATATGCAATGTTGTTTATTCATTTGGGTTTTTCTTTTTTCTAGTGTATAGTTGTATACAAATTAAGGGCAAAGGGGACTTTTTCTAATAGAATTGTTGACTAGAAATAGCCATATGGCATATTAAGTGGGCCCAAGGATGATTTTAAGCCAAAACAAATACTTAGAGGACCTATGTGGACAAAGTAAAACCTGAAGGACTAAATTGAGACTTCAGTGAAACTTGAGGGACTAAATTAGCTATTTAACAAAAAAAACATAAGTAGCATGAAGCCAAAGATATTGGTTTTAAGAAAATGCTCAGATATGTGACTTTATTAAAAAAATGACTTAGCATTTAGCTGACTGCGTTGTAAAATATACGTTAAACAATGCTTAACATTTATATAGGAAAGTTAATATGTAAGCTATAAAAGCACACTGCCAGCCATATCTTTTAGATCGCATTATACCAGCTCGTAAAATAAAAGGAAAAAGTACGAATTACCCCTTTGAACTATCGCGGTCGACCGAATTACACCCTTAAACTATAAAACCAGACATTTTTCACCCTCAACTATGCAAGCCAGACAAATAACCCGTCCCCCCGACTCAATCCGCGGTGGTTTTTGATCCTACGTGGCAGTCCAGTCAGCATTTTTTTTTAAAAAAATTCGCTAGGCCCCACCTGTCAGTCTTACCTCACTATCTCTCTCTACTCTCTCTCTTCCCCCCAATCCCCTCACCTACATCACTCGCCGGCGGTGGCGAGCCAAAGACGGCGGCGAGCGGGGCGGAGCCAGCTGGTGGCGATCACACCTGCTCTGCCGCTAGTCGCTGCCGGCAGCTCGGGCGAACTCCGCCTCAGCCGCCGGACGCCTGCGCGTGCTCTGTCGGCCTCCGCCTATAGATGGCCAAAAGGCCCGCCCGGTACGGCCTGGCCCAGGCACGGCTAGGCACGGCCCACCAGCCATCGGGCCGGCACAGGCCGATCGGCACGAAGTCCGGGCCGTGCCGGCCCATGGGCTGCACCTCCCGCCCAGGCATGGCCCACCAGCTGTCGGGCCATGTCGTGCCGGCCCGAAGGCACGGGTGGCCCATTGGGCCTTTTTTTAATAAAAGTCTATTTTTCCTCCCTCCTCTTTGGGCTGACATAGGTATAGATAAAATAAGTCTATTTTCTATCCCTCCTCTTTGGGATGACATATGTATAGATAAAATAAGTCTATTTCACTTCCCTATTCTTTCGTCCATAGCATATAATATGTCTATTTTTACTCCCCTATTTTTTTGTGTATTGGGCCTGGCTGCCGGCACGGTCGTGTCGGGCCGGCCCAACGTGCCGGTGGAGAGGCCCAGGCACGGTCAGTGGTTGGCTGGGCCGGCACGGGCCCGATCTCCGTCGGGCCTTGCAGTGCTTGGGCCGGGCCAAAATGCCGTGCCATGGGCCGGGCCGTCGGGCCTCGGGCCTTTTGGCCATCTATACCTCCGCCCACCTTGCTCGAGGAGGCGTTGCCGTCGTAGGTGTTGCTCCTCTCCGGGTCGCCTTGCTCCCACTTCGAAGCAAATCCGGCCGCCGCCCTAGTCTCCCGAGTGCTTTCTTCTCAAACATGAGGCTGTGGATGGCTGAAAAAATAATTAAGAATAAATTCCTAGGTGCATCAACTAGATGAACCTAATTAGGTTTTGCCCCTAACTATGTGATTAGTAAAACATAACTAAACATATAGTTAAAGAGTAAATAAATTAATCAGCCGAGTGGTTTTTAAAAATGTTGGCATTTGTGGGGTCAAATCTGAGGTAATAATACTCAAAATGAATTTACCAACCGCCAGTTAATGAAAAAAAAACATAAGTAGCATGAAGCCAAAGATATTGGTTTTAAGAAAATGCTCAGATATGCGACTTTATAAAAAAAATGGCTTAGCATTTAGCTGACTGCGTTGTAAAATATACGTTAAACAATGCTTAACATTTATATAGGAAAGTTAATATGTAAGCTTTAAAAGCACACTGCCCGCCATATCTTTTAGATCGCATTATACCAGCTCTTAAAATAAAAGGAAAAAGTACGAATTACCCCCCTTGAACTATCGCGGTCGACCGAATTACACCCTTAAACTATAAAACCAGACATTTTTCACCCTCAACTATGCAAACCAGACAAATAACCCCCCGACTCAATCCGCGGTGGTTTTGATCCTACGTGGCAGTCCAGTTAGCATTTTTTTTAAAAAAAATCGGTGGGCCCCACCTATCAGTCTCACCCTCGCTATCTCTCTCTATTCTCTCTCTTCCCCCCAATCCCCTCACCTACATCACTCGCCGGCGGCGAGCAGGGCGGAGCCAGCTGGTGGCGGTGGAGGGTTTCGCACCTGCTCTGCCACCGGTCGCCGCCGCCAGCCCGGGCGAACTCCGCCTCAGCCGCCGGACGCCTGCGCGAGCTTCGCCGGCCTCCGCCTATAGATGGCCAAAAGGCCCGCCCGGCCTAGGCACGGCCCGATCGGCACTTCGTGCTGGGCCGTGCTGGCCCATGGGCTGCGCCTCCCGCCCAGGCACGGCCCACCAGCTGTCGGGCCGTGCTGTGCCGGCCCGAATGCACGGGTGGCCCATTGGATGTTACAATTGGGCCTTTTTTTAAATAAGTCTATTTTCCCTCCCTCCTCTTTGGCTGTTACATATGTATAGCTAAAATAAGTCTATTTTCCGTCCCTCCTCTTTGGACCGACATATGTATAGATAAAATAAGTCTATTTTCCGTCTCTCCTCTTTGGGCTGACATATGTATAGATAGAATAAGTCTATTTCATGTCCCTATCTTTCGTCGATAGCATATAATATGTCTATTTTTACTCCCCTATTTTTTTTTGTTTATCGGGCCTAGCTGCCGGCCAATCGTGCCATGCCGGCCTGGCCCAACGTGCCGGTGGAGGGGCCCTGGAACGGCCCGGTGGTTGGGCCGGGCCGGCACAGGTCCGACCTCCGTCGGGCCATGCCGTGCTTGGGCCGGGCCAAAATGCCGTGCCATGGGCCAGGCCGTTGGGCCTCGGG